TTATTTCTATTGTTGCATTTCCCTTTCAATGTGTAAGTTTTATAGTAATAATTTTTGGTATTTCTATTGTTGTATAGATTAAATATGGTATCATCATCAGAACAATCTTTAACAGTCATTGGGTAATTTCAAACTCGACACATGTTGTTATAAATAGATTGGGTTTCTAATTGTGCCAAAATTTCAAATCTATACATTAGTCAATTTATCATGCTAATCAAGTCAGTACTTTGATTGGGTCAAATTATAACCCGCTTAAGGCATTGACATGCCTATCTCTTGAGTAGCGCACTAATCCTAGTTATCAAAATTTGGCTTGAGTGGGCATGACTGCTCAAATTCAATTTGATATATGAGGACATAATAAGTTCGGCATAATAAATGCTAAGGTGAGTATAAGTCTTGCTTATGCTCAAGTATCCATTGTTGTAGTTGTTGTTTTTGCTATCGGGTTATTGAAGAGGCCAAGGGAGGCCCCTGAACATTAGGTTGTTCTAGCTTCTTAGACACATCAAGTTCCCAATAAAGAATAAATTTTCTTGTTCGTAGGATGGATGGATTGTTAGTGGTTAGCTTTGATGACTTTATCAGTAATGAAATGTGCCTCAACATGGTGTATTATATCAACACAAGAATGAAAAATTACCCATAATAGTGCAAAGTAGAATGAGCCAAGATGGGAGTTCTTCAAGCAAGAAACCCATAAAAATTCATGATCGATCTCTAAAATTTGACAACCCTCATTAAAGATCCTTTGGAAGGGCTCCTTGAAAGAATCTCCCTCATTCTAGCAAAAAATTGACTTAACAAAAAAGCTCATGGTTCAAACCAGCGGAAAATTTGATCACATGTATTATCCTCCATCAAGCACCATCAGTTTCTAAGAGATAAACTTACTTGGCGCTATGTAATATCCACTAGCACTAAGTGATAACATTACTTGGCAGTTTGGGGTTTCCACTAGCAGGAGTTAACAAAAATTTATATTATTATGGTTCCATGTCCCAATTTTCAAGTCATATTCATTAATGCTTAGTCAGCGTGAGCACCTGTCTCAACCATGTTGAGTTACTAATGCTCAAGAACAAGTCACTTGCAGTAGAATCCAAACGTGGCTTGACTTATTGCCCAAGGATTATCACAAGAATTGCTCGAGTCTATTAAATTCTTTGTTGTGAAAAATGTTTAAGGTCATCCATACAAAAAAATATGATACAAAAAGGGGCCATCAACTTCAAAATTATGAGACTTTGTTACATATCAAATAGATTGTACAAAACTAAGAGTCTGTTTGGGGTGACTACAGCTTTTTTAAAAAGTGATTGTAAAGTTGTGAAGCAAGCAACTTCTTAGAAAATAGCGGCAGGAATAATAAATATATATATTTTTTTTTTCAAGAAAAATAAGACAACAACTTTCTTACAACCACTGCACTTTAGCAGATTAAGTTGAAAAAATCAGCTCCCATCAAAGAAATTTCTAGAAAACAGCAATAAAGCAATTTCCTAAACATAACTATGGTAGCGGTCTAATTGTCCCAAACAGACCCTAAGGCTTTTAAAGTAGCCCTTTCCTTTTATGCAAATAGATCCAATGCACCCACATTGAAGAAGTTGGATAAAGATGACAAAACAACACTTTTAGGACTTAAAAACTTTATATTAAAGTAACAACAATGCTATTGTGAAAAGGTATACATTCCAGAAAAATAATGATGTCATATAGAAAGTCTTAGTGGAAAAGCTTGGCATATAAAGATGTGTTTGCCTATGAAGATGTTCAATCACATCTACACCAAGTGCCAAAAGATAGCCTTCATAGACTTTATTTCTAACTAATATATTTCATTTTCAGGTTTCTTCGAGGAGATAAATGAAGAAAGCATTCACCACATTAGAAACTGAACTGAGATTTAATTAAGATAAACTACTTGTAGCGCAAAGGTCAGTGCATGGGGAAAGATTATGTCCAAGTAACAACCTCTAAGGATTGTTTAATACTCTGATTTTATAAGATACAAATGCAAAATATTCTAAATAAAATATACCCAAAAATTTAAACTATTACGAAAAATCATCAAAAATCAATCTAATTGCAATCTGGAAGCATATACAAATTCTCTAAAATTGCGAAGTTATAGAATTAGTTTTGTTTAAACTAAATTTTCCTTCAATTTTAGATTTCATTGATATAGTTGCAACAATCGTGGAAATTCCATTTTTCACTAATCCTAACATGCAACGGTTGTAAATGAAATGTTTGATTGTTCAAGAAAAAAATAATTAGGATAACAATTGCATAAACAATGAATAAGCTAATTTAAAAGTATAAACATTTGAATTTCACTATGTTTTCCAGTAACTCTCCATTTCTTTGAAAGGTGCATTTTGCATTGCTATAAAAAAATAAAATATTACAAAAATTACAAAAAGGGCTAACCAGACAAACATGGGCCCAGTCAATATCAACAAAAGAAAAAATGAAGTGTGAACTATCCACATTCCTAATAAAAAAACTATCATCTATCGCCCTGTGGGCACACATATGAGCAATTATATTCTTCTTCCTATCAATATGGTGAAAAAGGAGAGTTCTTCCTGTAACTCTCCATTTCTGGTGTAACAAAGAGCTGGAATGGGATCTAACTGAAAGAAAACTGGGAAAAAAATGGAAGAAAAAGAACAAAAAGAAGAGCGAGAAAAGAAAATGAATAAGAAAAGAAAGTCAAGAAAAGAACTAGATAAGTAAAGAATCTAAATTTTGGTAATTTTTCCAATGAATCGATTTCAAATCAAAGTGATATGCCTCAATGCCTTTATGAAGAAGTGCTATTTTGAGATAAAGTATAATTTCAAATTAAATTTATTTAGAGTTAAATTATAAGATACAAAATATTACAAATAGGGATAATCACTATTTATTAGAGATTGTACACAAAAGAAATAAATTTTGGAGTGTTCAATTAGCAGAGATCAATCGTCAACTTGGTAAGATATACATATTTAGTGCATGAAGCAAATTTTTTTAAACATTTGCAAGTGTATTAATATATAAATTAGACTAATAGGAACAACACAATAGAAGCTCTTTGCATCGTAAAATGCGGGTTCACATCTTATTACCACTACACAAATGACCATACATAAATCTTAATGACACGGGATCTCAATTAAATGTATTATAATTATAAAAATATGATGTTAATTGGTGACACTTTTAAATGAAGGCATCAAGTATGTGTAAAGTGCTTATTTAAAAATATAATTGTTCGGTATAATTCAAAAATAAATAGCCTATTTATATAGTGTCCAATAATGAAAATGTGACTACCTTAAGGAATATCATACTGTGGGGGATAAGTGGCAATGATAAGTTTATGAATATCCATACAACTAAAGCGACAAAAATGAGCAAATATGTGACTATGAAGCCTATACAATTATGAAGATAAAAGAGAGTTCGTATATAAATATGAAGCCTGTACATTAAGGCGATAAAGGAGAGCCCATATAAAAGTAAATGGCTCCTCAAGCTAAAATACTTATAACATTTGCTATAGGACGACAAAAGTGAGTCCTTATATGATGGCCAATGAACTTGGTCTGAAATACATGATATGACCTAAGATTGAGCAAAATTGTTTCCTTTTATATCAAGTAATGATTGAAATAATAGAGAAGATAAATTTATAAAAACTAGCATGATATCACCTTTGCATATCAAAAATAGTGTTTATAACATTGTAAATTTTTAATATTCTCTTGAATTTTTCTCTCAATAAAATATTTTATATATTTTTAGACCAGTTGTTGTTTAGTTAATTCAATTTTATAAAGAGTATAAGAAATTAGACTGGCCCATATTGTTTATTTCAAATTCTTATACTATTTGAAATCTATAATAGAATTGTTTATCTTATCAAGCTTCTAAGCTCACTGAATATTATGTTAGAATTATTTCCTGAGAAAAAAACCAAGATCGAGGCTAAATAAAAATGAGACCATTTTTGTGATTTTATTTTGTTACATAGCTGTTGTAAGTTCGAAGAATAACGAGTAATATATTAGATGAAATATATGCATTGCACAAATATTTTGATGTATAATTGATGCTCTATAGATATATATAAATGAAATGTTCTAGACAGTTTCCGCTTAATTTGACTGGCTGATCTTACTAAACATATGAGTTGTAGTAATGTGATATATAATATTTCTGATGTTTTTAGATGATTAAATTTATCTCTCACTCTTTTCCGATAAGTAGGATATCAGAATAAGTGTTGAAGGCATAATTAATCAACGAAACCATGCTGACTTCTATTATGTTCTGCTTCGATGTAGGGAGTATTGTTGTGCCGCGTGAAAGTGGACTGATTGGGTGCCATGCTGACCAAGCAATCTAGCTTATATAACCTCTTTGGAGCATTGGAAGAGAATTGTGCATTGAAGTAAAATTTCAAGCCTCAATAAAATTTTAACTTGAAATTTTGAATATCTAAAAACAAATGTGCAACTATTAGAACAAAGATTTTAGGCTTCCAATTACTTTTAAATTGTTGAGTCACTAGAACTATCCAAAGAACTTAGATCAATTGTTTACAATTCTTATTTCTAAGCCTACCGGTAGCATTCATTTAAACATTATGGTACGAAGGGGATAGGAACATTAACAAAAACTTGACTATTTAATATTTTAATTTCCTCGGCGACTATGTGGATCATTTTAAATGACTGCGATCATCAACAACAATTTCTTTTTGTTTAACATCCTTGGTATAAAATGCCTATATCTTAAATTGAACACCGAATTGGAACTATGTACAAGGTCTAACACATCAACACCATGTAAACATAAAAAGGGAAAAATGAAAATATTTTAAATTGCAGTCATTAGAAATAAATAGAAATGAAAGAATGAGCACTATCTGCTTGATAATTTCGAAGAACCCCAGTTAAAAGGCCATTATTACTAAATTAACAGAAAGCAAAAATTCAAACCTTGTAGTCCAGTGAATTAAGACCCTTGCAGACAAACTCAAATAGAGTTTTAAGGTTCTCAGGGCTAGGAGCTGTAACAAAAATGTTTGAATATCTGCAAACAACATCCTAATCCACAGCTAAGAATATAAAGCTGTTGAAATTAATGTAATCAATATAAACTTGAACTATAATGAATTTCACCCCGTAACAATCGCCCCTGCTACAGCAAGCCCTAAAGCAGCCGATTTGCCACGTCCGCGGGCAGCTATTAGAGCAACAGTACTTCTAAGAGTCTTGTCAAGGATGGAATCCAAAAAAGTAACAACACCTTTCGCCTGCTTAGACACAAGTATAACAAATGGATAAATTATTAAACAGATAGTCCTCCATGCAAGATATTTTGCACAAAAAACAAAAGTTAGAGGATAAAATTTCACCTGATCCAATGTGCAGCATTTCCCAATTAAAGGACCAACAGGGAGTTCATCACGAAACTGTTCTTTCAAATCCTTTAGTTCCCGCTCCTTTTCAGATAATCCTTCAGAATCCTTTGATAATAAATAGAGAAAGAAAAAAAAAAGATTAAGCATAAATAGCCAAAAAAAAACGTAAGCCAGTGCAGTCATCTATCTTACTATTAAAAAAACATTTCTATTTTCAATAAAATAAGACTTTAACACTTGACTTAGGAAATAAAATCAGAACTCTTCATTTTCAAAGTGATATATTATTTAACAATGAATATTTTTACAAATATTAATAATATCTTCATGTTATATCGGCCCAAAAGTTTTTAAATAAAAGATGTAAAAAAGCGCTTTTTATACATCATCTTCCATCTCCTGAGAACATGTTACATGCCTTGTTCAATAAAATCCCTAGACATATTTACCCCTTTTGATTTCACTAAAATAAATTTTAACACTTGATTTTAAAAAGAAAATTAGATCCTCGTTTAAAAAGTGGTATATTTTTCAGTAAGATAAATTTGTGATTGTCGCAAGTCTCAACCACTGTCATCTGAATATTTCCCACCTATGGTCTCCCAACCTCCACAGCCTAACTCCAGTTGCCCAACTCTTACTATCTGACCTTAGCAGCAAGACAATAATCGCCCATCTACAACCTCCTAACTTTTGTTTCTAGAATGCGGTCATTCGACTCCTATCGCCTGACTAAAACTGCACAACTTTCGGCCCCCAGCAACAATCTCCTGATAACAATCGCTTGTTTATAATTTTGTGTCTCTATTGCAAAACTAAGGTCCTCTAAACTTTGTTGGTCAACTACAACCATCTAATCTTCCTCATCCAACTATAAATATAATTAATTAGAGGACCATCATCACTCGTCAATAGTTATAACTGCAAATGAGCAAAGGAAAGTCGAGTTGGAGCTTGTTCAAGCTTGAGCACGTTTACTAAAAATGTATTCAAGCTTGGTACGAGCTTGATTCAAGCATTTGAGAAGTTTTTCAAGCTCGATTGATTAAAATTCAATGTTGTTAAAGCTTGAATTTACCAAACTTTAATCAAGGAGAAAGTTCAGCCTTATCAAGTCGAGCCCGAGCTTATTAAGCATGCAGATAAATAGTGATCAATTGACTCGGAACAAATCAAAATATTCCAACTAAATTTAGAAATTAATTTTTTTTAGTTAGAGACCTCCTAAACAAAACTAAAATTCCCACCCGCCGACAAATCCAAGCCTTTGAAGTGCTCAAGCAACTTTGTTGTGCATTCTCATTTGAATAGCAACTATAATATATCTCATTTAGAAGTGGGCCTAAATGCATGCACAAGATAAAATGCTTGAACCTTTCAATTAGTGCTCAAGGTGTACATAGAATTATATTTTGATTTTTTGCATTAATTTCTTAATTCATTATTTTAATTACTTTTTTTGGTAATCGTATGAGTTTCTCATGAAACTTACAATTTCATTTGATTTTTAATTAATTTTTAATTATATTTTTATTTATAATTACTTGCTAATGAGCTTCACGTGAAACACATTAATTCTTTTTTTTAATTAGTTTGTATTTTTTTAAGTTAATAATATAAAAAACTAATTTAAATTTAAATTATTATTTAACCATACTTTATTTCATTTATATTATACTTTATTTAAAATTTATATTGAATTTTAATTCAATATCGAGCTTTAAATGAAAATATCAACGTGCTTGTTAACGAGCTTTAAACGATACCGTTCTTGATCATAAATAAATTGAGCAACAAAGTATTCAAACTTATTTATTTAATAATCGAGTATTTAAAAAGTATTCAAAATTGTTCGATTACTCGATTAAATGATTATAAACGAGTTATAATTGAGCCCAGACACAATCAACTTATCAAAGTATAGTTCATTTGCAGCCCTAAGTACAGTATCCAACCTTCATCTCCGGTTGATGCTGATATCAACCCCTTCAACCACCTCACCCATAGTGCCAACACTATCGGTGCATAGAATTGTATTATGATAAAAACATATCGTTCACACCAAAATGACACTAAACTTCTTGGTCTCATGACTTCATTTTTTAAAGGACAACCAAGCATTCCTCAAACGATCTCGTGAAGGCAACTCCAAAACCTACAAGCTTCTCCAACTTACATGAAAGAGCTTATTTTACTCCATTTGTGTTTATTATAATATATCAACAACTCCTTCGAGTATGAAAAGATGCATGATTTGTAATCTATAAAAAATATTAGTGGAATCATTTCAACTGGACAAAGCCTAGTAGTTTTTTACTTTATAAGTTTTTCACATAAAAACTCAATGTCTTCGATTTTAATTTTACTTTTATTTTTGCGTGTGGTGTACATCCATACAATACTAAGACATTGATTTCTCTCTATAACGCCATTAATTTTACCGCAAACGGCGCCATTGTCATACCACTATCACTCAACCTTTACCATCGTTGAATCACATTCATCGCCAGTTCATTGCAGTCTCCTTAACATTCTTTGCCGCTTATAAAAAAGACTGAGTCAACATCCCACAGTATTATAATATTGTCTTCCCCCATTCAAGTGACGAGATAAGTTTTGTAACTCACATCTATGTAGAGGCATCTTTTCAACTGAGCTAAGTTGTGTAATTTTTTCATATAAAACCTCAATCCTTCCTCTTTATCTGTGTATGTTGGACTTTCATACAATACTAAGACAATATTCTATTATTCAACCGCCGTATATTTTCATACACGCAACAATACTACTATTAAAATTATTCTTCCAATTTTATTCTTCCTAAAGTTTTGATACTAAAGAAGCTAAGAGGCATTATTATATCAATCATATTTCATCTTCGAGAACCGTCTAACATGATTTGTTCATACCTACACATATTTATGTTAAAAAATTTTGTTGAGTCTTCCTTGGCTGTGATTTATTATTCCAACATCTTCTGCCCTCAAAAAAATTTCTTTTTTAAGATTTGATGTCGATTGTTGTTTTGTTTGATCTAAAAGTTCAAAAAATCAATCATTGAAGAAATAAGCAAGAGTTAGTTATTTCTTTAACATTTTGGGTAATTAATTACTGATTTTACATTCACTATTTCTTTACTGACATGTTTTTGTACTCTAGACGTAAGTTAATGTTTATTTGTTCATATTTGTAGCTAAATAAAAAATGTACAAATTATTTATGATGGATAATAGCACAAAAATAAGATTTTGCTCTTTATGTAGCGATTGAAGTTTTATTGGTCTCACTTGAAAAGCAACAATAATAAACAATTTAATAGTAATTTCTAATAAAAATATATTAATATTCACGAATCGAGAAATTATTGCGTTGTACATCATCACTTGGCACAAATCTTACAAATCTTGACACAAAATGAAAGAAATGTATAAATTTCAAAAACAAATCAGTAAAAGACAAAAAACACTGATCTATTGACATTTACAAGTATAGTTTCCGAGTGTTAAAACGAACTAAAAGCACAGAATATATAATTAATGCATAATAAAATTGCCATGCAGTTTCAGTTCTTTAATTTTTTCATTATCTTCAATATTTGCTTGTACAGAAGAGAGAATAAAATCATCAGGTGCTCGTAAAAGTTCTTATTTCTTGCAGTGTTTTATACTCAACCAAATAATCACAAGCTATGGTAAACTGGGTTCTAGAATTTTGTGCAGTCATTGGGATATCTGCATTATAAAAAAAACACATGAGCAAAAGTATACACCATGATTTTTGTCGTCGTCTTAGATCTTTTTTTTTTCAATGACTCGATAAAATTTCCTAAAGATGTTGGTCCGCAGATTCTTAATTGATCCCCATATAAATGGGAAGCATATTGAAAAGATTTATAGAAATCATATATAATCTTTTAAATTGTTTAAATTCATAAACCATTGTTGCAGCTCTATAAATAATACAACCCATCATATCGAAGACATCTCTATCTACATCCCAACATATAATTCATGTTAGGTTATTAAAAATTGTTTATCTATCTTCTACTTCCGATGCATTTTCTCTCATGTTTTACCTATTCTTCTTATGCTTTTACAATTTAGTCCTTAAAATATGAGTAATTTAATCGTTTCCTTTGCCTAGCAAACTCTACAATTTATACATTTTTTTGGGCAAATAGCTCCTAAAATTTTCAACTGATAACTTAAATTTCAATAATCCCTCAAATTACAAATTTGATACTTTAAAAGAGTTAAAATAAATAAAACAATTTCATAATTAAAATGAATATATTTTAATGAATTCATCAAGTGCATTGTTATATGCATGCACAATTTAAATTAATATTATAACAAATGTCATAAAATCATCCCTACTGTGATGATCGCTCTAAAAAAAGAAAAACAGCAATGTGAAAAATTTTAAAATGAAAAACCAAATCCTCTACAAAAATTCATAAATACATCTTTAAATTCCTGATTTACGATATATAAAAAAAGATTTGACAATTACCTCTGCAACTTCCACCGGAAGGATTGATCTAATATGAGATGATATTTGTAGGATGTTAAGCTCATCATCCACAACAAGAGACGCCTTGCATGATGCAATGGATAACAAGAAACGCTCATTAAACCGTGGAACGGTCTGCGAATGAGATTCCGTCCTAAACCGTTCATGGACATCCTGATATCAAAATTACAAAACCAAACTATTGTCTCATTTCACAATATATAATGAAAAAAGTGTAAAAATAGTCCCCTAATTTTTTGCAATACGGGCTGAAATAATCCCCATGAATAACTTTTTCAACAACAATTAAAAAGTTTTGGGACTAATTTAGCACTTTTATAGACTCTAGGATTAAAATGACCCAATGTAAACAGTTTTGGAGCAATTTCAGCACTTTAATAATATGTCTAGCAAATAATTTCTTCAATAATCACACTAGGTAGGAAACTAACTTGAAAATGGTAATAAATAAAAAAATCTCATTACGGGTATGAGTTAGAACACTAATAAATTAATAATCATTCTGTGGTTTATTTAAGGAAAAAGGTTCGATCAAAGAGCCATTCCAACTGTGCAACATATCCCACAACCGAGAGTAATACCACATAAATCTAGCAGTGCTGAAATGTATTTAAGCTGGATTAATAAGGCATATTATTCCAAGTTACAATTTCGGTCACTGACCAGAAAGGGGAGTGAAAAAAATGTCTTTTACTTCTATAATTAATTTGCTTTGCCAAACTAAGCTCACTCTAAAGAATAAGAACAATGAAATCTAGATTTGGCAAAATAAAACTGACAAGAATCAAGAAAAAAAGTAAAGGACATTTGCATACATACCACATAACTTTAATATGTTTACATATCTAACACCTAAACGGTGATATTTAAAGGCATGTCACTCAAAACTTCAACATAACAACCAAAATATTATTATTATCAACCTTATAAAAGTGAAGTACAACTTTTCATGCATATGCTGATAACATCAAAGTATTATAATGGAAATAAAAAAATTTAGGTGTTAGATATGTAAATACATAAGAATTATGTGGTATGTATGTAAATTTCCCAAAATGTAAGGGATGCGGTTGCACAACATGGTGAACAAATCTTAATAACTAAATAATGAATGTATTAGATAATCAACATCATCACAACAGCGGCGAAGTATTTAGAAAGACAGAAGAGTATGACAAATCATATAAAGTGAAAATGAGGTGATATTCCCACCATGGCATTCCACTACACTGTGGATGATCCATAAAACAAGGTCAGACGAGGGCTTAAAAAGATATTCATCCTGATTTAGCTGTAGAACGGCAAACACGTGACTGATATGTATTCAAAACTCAAAATGGTAAGTTCATGACAGCCGTCACTTTTTCATGCACTACTGATACTTTTTTTTTGGAGTATTTAAAAGAAAATAGGGGCATTTACATACACACACAATTCTTATGTTTACATATCTCACACCTAAACTTTCATATTTACACAATAGCACTCAAATCTTTAAAAATTAATATCACAAAAAAATATCACTATTACCACTTCTTAAAAGTCATACACCATTTCATGCATATTTTAAAGCACCAAAGTGCTGTGTAAATAAGAAAGTTTAGGTGTGAGATATGTAAATACATATGACTAGTGTGCTGAGTAATTAGATTTACCAAAAAATTAATAATAATAAACTATAAAGTGCAATAGTGTACCAACTTAACATGTTATTTGCATGCATCATTAAGTTTGTGTAAAACCATTTTTAAGAGATTTACATTTCCTTCATACACAGCAAATACTTAATCAAATATAACACAGATTTTCATCCCAAGGAGGAAAGCTATCCAAAACTCCTATAAAGTACAGGCACCCTCCCCATAACAAAAATAAAATAAAAAATAAAAAATAAAAAAAAACTAAAAATCAAAAAACACGTACTTAAACTCAATAATTTCTTTATCCGTATAAAACAAAAAACTAAAGAACATTGAAGGGAGTAAACAAATAATCAAATTCTAGAAATTTCAAAATTAAAATAAATATCAACAAAACTCCAACAACTGCTTGAACTGTACTGAATTTTTAAACCAAGAATGTGATATCATACCATCACCATAGTGTAAAGACTAGTTAGAGAGGGCAAAGAATGAAGCAACAGAATCACCAAGCCTCCACCCTCAACAGTTTCGATTGTTCTTGCAAGAATATTTGGAGTCAATGCCTCAAAATCCTAAATGGGCAAATAGGAATTTCAACAAAAAATCCATTTAACACAAAAATCATGTCAATGGATAACTTAAATGGAATTTTACATAAATACCACACGGTTTTTCTGTATTTACCTCAAAGTTTGATATTTATACTTATAGCACCTTGGTGTCATAAATATATGCATGAAAATGTGCATTTCACTTTTAAAAAGGTGTGATAGTGATTTTTTAATGTGATGTTAAGGATTTAAGTGGTATGCATGTAAATATGAATGTTTAGGTGTTAGATATGTAGATACCATTGTTTAAAAAAGTGTTTGAGGCTTACAATTTGAGGCTCGCCTCGAACTGAGGCTCAAAAAAAAGCCTAGAGGCTTAAGCCTCGCTGCCACTACTGAGGCTTAGGCTTTTTTCATCTGAAATTGTAGTTTGAGACAACGCCTCCATCAAGTTATAGGTATATATATAATATTATATCTAATACAATGCCTCAAAAAATTAATTTATAATTTTGTTTAACATTATATTTGATTTCAAATTAATTGATAATAAGAAAAAAAATTAAAGTTAATGAATAATATTTTAAAGTTGTAAATGAGATATAATTAGATGATAATAAATATGATGATTCTTTTAAAGATGATGAAAAAAAGGATGACTTTGCAACGGATCTTGAGCTTCATGGAATAATTAAATTTAAAGTGAATGCACACATTTAATCACAATTTAAACCTCTATTTTATATCAATATTTAAGATTTAGATTTGTGATTTATGTCTTTATGATGGTAATAAAATCAACATATCAATGATCTATATCATACCCATGACTTATTTTTAATTTTATGAGTATATTTTTTTTCTTTTTTGAGGCTTATGTCTCGATTCAGCTCAAGACTGAGACCTCACCTTGCTAGAGCAAAACGCCTCGATTCCCGATTTTACGTTTTTAAACTTTGGTAAATACATAAGAATTGTGTGGAATGTATGTAAATTCCTCTAATATAAAATACTAAACCTGTAAAATGCACATGCCGAAGGTATTGCCCAACACTCTTTTCTGAATCCTTGTAGAGGCAGTAAGTTATATTTGTACTTTCAACAAAGAGAGAGAATGCATCAACTTTCTCAGGATCCAACAATCCCCTTTGCATATACTTTTTAACCTGTTTAGCACGTTTTTTCTTGTGGCTGAAAATGGTGTTTTTAATTAGAACAGAAAAAACAGTAACACAATAGTAAGTATAGTTGGAAAGGAACAGCTTATGGAAAAAAAAGGAAATTTACATGCATAACACAAAATTCCTTTTGTATTTACATATCTAACACCAAAAGTTTGATATTCGTATTTATAAAACTTTGCTGTCATGAACCTATGAAAAGGTGTGTACTTCCCCTTAAAAAGTTAGCAGCAGTGGTACTTCTTATGTGATATAAAAGATTGGTTTGTTATGTCAGTAAATATCAAAGTACAGGTGCTAAATATGAAAATTCAAAAGAATTGTGTGGTATGTATGTAAATACCCAAAACAATAAAACAACCTAAGGCAATCAGCGAAAAAAATGTTAAACCAAATTAATCTGATGGATATGAGGCCTCAACTGTATAAAGCAAACATAAAATTTCAGACAAGTAGACTTATATTTTCGTTATATTTTAGCAGTTAGAGAAGGTTGATCAACAAGCCAAAATCTGGAACAATTGCTAGATATGAGGTCAGTATCTGTGTTTAAGCAAAAGGCAAATGTGTGTGGCCTAACAAATTATAAATCATGCGACAAAGTAAATTAAAAAAATTGTGAATTGAAGCACCATAAAATGCATAATCTACTGCATCAAATTTTATGCATCCTATACTTGCACGCATTTCAATGAAATGCTTATGAATCACGAGACATAATTTTGAATTCGAATAGACCATAAAATGGAGTGGACATCCATGGATGAAACTGCACTACATCAATCATCCAACTTGAATTATACTAATAACATACCCATTTATATCACCATCACTTTGAATAATAAACCCGAGATATCTAAAACTTCACTTCTTTTAATGGTGTGATCATCCATTGTTACAACTCTGTCACTAGATCTACTACTACTAAAATTACATTCCATATATTCAGTTTTAGATCTGCTCAACCGAATGAATTTAGACTCTAATAAAGACCTCCATAATTTAAGTTTTCTGAGCTCTTTCTCTGGTCTTATCCACAAGGTACATCCTACTGTAAATATCAATTATAAGCATACACTAAGGTACATCCTCCTGTAAATGTCTAGTAAGAGCATCAATAATTAAAGCAATTGGATGTGGACTTAAAGTTGATCCCTGATGTAATCCAAATGAAATAGGAAAATACTTGGTCAATCATATTTTGTTCGAACACAGGCAACCGCTCTAATATACATATCTCTAATGACTTGAATATAGGTCATATCAACATTTTTCTTTTCTATGACTCTCTAAAAAACTTTTCTTGGAACCTTATCGTAAGCATTTTCTAAATCAATAAAAATCATATGTAAAATCTCCTTATCGTGTTTGTACTTCTCCATCAAACCTCTCAATAAATATATAGCTTTTATAGTAGACTTGTCTGCCATAAATTCAAACTAATCATGAGAAATCTCTGTATCACGTCTTAACCCATACACAATTACACCCTCCCATAATTTTAATATATGACACACTAACTTAATTTCTCTATAATTAGTCCCCTTTATTATTGAAAATAGAGACCAAAATATTCTTCCTCTAGTCCTCGGGCATCTTTTTAGTTTTTAAAATAGTATTAAAAAATTTAGTAAGTCAATAAACTTTCAAATCTCCTGAATATTTTCACACTTCTATTGGGATATCATCAAGTCCTGCCAATTTTTCACCCTTGATTTTCTTTAAAACCTTCTCAACTCTTTTTTACTAATACGATAGTAAAAATTAAAAGTTTCATTATTATTAATGATATTAAGATCACTGAAGTCAATCGTATTTTTAAAAACTCCATTGAAAAGTTTATCAAAATATCTTACACACATATGTTGTATATCTTCCTCTAAAAAAGTACATGTTGATTTTCTTCTTTAATACAATTTAGTTGAATTAAATATTCACTTTTTTTCTCTTTGTTTGACTGGTTTATACATATATGTTTCACAGTCTTTAGTATCTAATATATTATAAATATCACTAAAAATAGAATTAAAAAAATAAAAAATTATTCTCTTAGAATTCCTACAGGTCACCTTATATTTTTTTCAATTTTCTAAATTTTTACAGTTAAACTAATTTTTATAACAAAACTTCATATAATTTATTTTTTCTATACATTATTATTTCATCACCAACTATTCTTATTTATAAAAAATTTTCCATCTGATACTTCAAGTAAATCTTTTATTAGTTGCTTAATAATGTTTGTTGATTTATCCCACATAGAATTAGTTTCTTCATGAAAATCTCAAATCTCGAAATATTGATTCACATATAAAAAAATATTTATTTGTCTTTTAGGCGCCCCAGTCAAACTTTATGATAATATTTTATTGTATTATATCTTTCAACTCATCATGTTAAACTCCAGAACTAATAATCGATGTTAACTACTTAAATTTTTATTTGGAATGACCTCACACTCTTTATATTCTCGACAATTTATTTTTCTCATAAGAAAATAATCAATTTGTGTTATATTAAATCTATTCTTATACGTAATAATATGTTCATCTATTTTCTCAAATAAAAATATTAGTAATAATAAAATTATAAACTAAAGCAAAATCTAACATGGTTCTACCTTCTTCATTAATCACTTTAAAGCCATAGACATCATAAATATTTATAAAATCTTATATCACTCTATCAACATGTTCATTTAAACTTTCATTAATAAAACTTATGTCTTCAAAATGCATCATTTGTATTAATTATTCTATGTCATTCCAAAATTTTTCTTTTAAATCTATATCTAAACCTACTTGAGAAACATAAGCACATGTACATTAAAAATCCTAGTATCAACAATAATCTTTATGCCTATAATTTTATCTCCAGTTCTATTAAAGGTGTGAATCTCAATAAACATATTAAATTCTAAGTAACATATAAATATAAATTTGCTTAAGTGAAATTCCCCCCATTAAAACTAACAACAATAATCCAATTCATCATATCAAAAGTTTGTCAACGTGAGTTAAAAAAAGTTTAACTTAAGCTCACAAGAAAATCATGTCACTTATATTTATGATCGCTGTCAAATATCTCACGCCAATTAGAATGCCGTAAATATTTTCTAACCAAGTGATTTTATCATCAAATGTAACCATGAAAAAAAGTGGTTATGATCAAGGTTCTTTATATACTTCTTTTCAAAATTGTTTTCTTTATTTTCAAAATCAAAGCTCAAACTTGAAACACATACTCATTCTCAAGTAGAAACGAATATTAGAGTTAACGCAAATAATGTTTAAATCATTAGAAGACTATGAGGACATCCACGAGTTGGGTCGAGTGCTTGCCAACTTGGCTGAAATAGATTCAGAATGGCGTTATGACTTGTTCAGTTTGACCCATATGACATTGAATGTGCAGTGCACTTTTTTGTTTTTACATTATTTTTATGCTTAAAATGAATTAAATATGAAAAATGTTCCTTTTAAGATGTAAGAATTTAATTTATAAGCAAAATTGGGCTGAAAAATGACACCTGCTAAGCTCCAGCTTCTGTTTGTAGCACCATAAGACTGTTGGCCGGGATTTTATAACTGCCTTGCTCAACATGTAGTGAAGATTCACAATCTGCACGCAGAAAATCATGCCATCAACACCACAAAAACTTTATACTATGAATGAAATAAACTAAAAAAGGAACCTTTGGCATCTAAAACTCAAAGAAAACACGAAAGAACCATATTTTATAAATTAAGATTCTTGCCTTGAGCAAACGAGCAAAACTTTAGTGGCAAAACTTCGCTATTGCTTCTAAGTATTCCAACAAATACGAATAAAGGAAGAAAGAACGCAGTACCTGATTACGATACTTGTCGCCAATTATGACAAACATCGAACGGTGCCTTAGCTTCACGCCATTCTCTATGAGCGTTCGGATTCGACTGTCAACAATCTTCCTCATCTCTCTTTGGTATCCGGCGAAGAAGAACCAAGAAAATAACTAGCGTTATCTAGTATGAGACTACTACCCAAATACCAGAAAATAATCAGCTGATCAAAGGAGGCAAAGGTGTCAGCTACTAAAATATGCGAGAACAAAAACTTGGAGGCGGATAAAAAGGAAACACAATGTATCGCGAGGGTGCGGAGCGGAAGTAGCAGAAGGATGGGAGTTTCGGTTGTCTTTGCACACCGCGATCCCGTCGCTGCCTTCCCACCTGACTATAAGCCCGAGGTTGCGATTGTTATTTGGGGAAACCGGGAGGAGCTGCGGGGTGGGGGAGGGAGGGCGGCGGAGGTGAGGGTTTGTGGTTTTAATTTAATTTTATTTAAGTTATTTTTTATTATTCATAATCTCTTATCAGATTAATTATAATTATATAAATTTATATTAAATAAAAAATTAATTAATTAATTAATTAAAACAAATTATACTTTAAATTTTAAATTTATTCATACAATTTTAAATACTTATTAATTAATATAAAAGTATTTATTTAATTATTAATATGTAAATATTAAACTATTAATTAATAGATTATTTTAGTTTTAACATATTTAGTAATATTTAATTAGTTTAGTAAATAGTTAATTATTTATTACTATAATTAGGAATAAACATTATTTTATATTAACTGAATTTAATAATTCATTTCAATGGTAGTAATTAAATAATCAAATTTAAAGTGTGCTAAGATGTTCTAACGAGCTTAACGTATTTTAAAATTCTAATAAAAGTTGTAATAGAGTTTTACAGAATTTAATAATATTTATTTAAATAGTTTTCCAAACAAATTTTTGGTTCACCCATTTTAGGGCTTCTAGAGATACTCTAATATGATTTAATAGATCTTAATAACTTAAATTCCAAAAGTCGTTAAAAACTCCTTCACGGGTACTTCTCAAATGTTTTAAACACGATTTAACTTAAATCCTGCTAAACGGTACAACAACAACAACAAAGCCTTAATCCCACTACGTGGGGTCAGCTGCATAAATCCTTTTCTTCATTGCATCCTTTTTAGTGTCATATTTTCATTTAGTTCTAATAAATTAAGATCATTTTTATACCATAAGCCCAAGTCTTTCTAGTTCTACCTCTGTCATTCTTAACGTAAGTCGAATCTAAAACATCTATTGTCCTAATTGGATCATCAGATGGTCGACGCTTAATGTGAACAAACCATCTAAGACAACTTTCTCTAATTTTGTTCGTCACAGGAGCTACACCAACCCTATCACGGATATAATAATTTCACATTTTGTTTCTAAATGTAAAGCTACTCATTCACCTAATCATTCTCATATTGGTAACACTTAACTTAGTATTATGCTTCGTTTTTAAAGACCAACATTCAGCGCCATACAGCTTTGCAGGTCTCACCACCGTCTTATTAAATTTTTCTTTCAATCTAAGCAGTACTTTTCTATCACACAAAAGGCCTGAAGCATTCCTCCACTTCAACCAACCAACTTGAATCCTACTATTAACACCCCTGTCTATATCACCATCGCTTTGAACAACAGACTTGAGATATCTAAATCGTTCACACATTTTAATAATTTGATCACCCAAATTTACACTTCTGTCACTATAGCTACTACTACTAAAATTACATTCCATGTATTCAGTTTTAGTTCAACTCAAATGAAGGCCTTTCGACTCCCATGTAGACCTCCATAATTCAAGGTTTTCCTGAGCTTTTTCTCTCGTCTTATCCAGGAGCTTATCCAGGAGAAGGATATCTATCATCGGCAAAAGGCATACACCAAGGTACATCCTCCTGTAAATGTTCAGTAAGACCATCCATAACTAGATTAAAAAGATATGGGCTTAAAGTCGATCTCTGATGTAATACAACGGAAATAGGAAAATAATTGGTCAATCCTCCTTTTGTTTGAAGACAAGTAACAACTCTAGTATACATATCTTTAATGACTTAAATATAAGTCTTATCAACACATTCTTTTCAAGAACTCTCCAAAGGATATTTCTTGTAACCTTATTGTAAGCTTTTTTTAAATCAATGAAAATTAAATGTAGATTCTTCTTATTATCTCTAAACTTCTCCATCAAACCTTTTAATAAACGTATAGCTTCCATAGTAGACCTGCCCGTCATAAATCCAAATTGATTATGAGAAATATTTGTAATACGTCTTAATCTATGTTCAATTACCCTCTCCCATAATTTTAAAGTTGACACATCAGCTTAATTCCTCTATAATTTGCACACTCTTGTCATACACTTTAAATAAGGACCAAAATACTCTTCCTCCACTCATTAAGAATATTTTAAGTTTTTAAAATAATGTTAAAGAGTTTAGTAAGCCAAGAAACTCCCAAATCTCATAAATATTTTCATACTTCAATTGGGATATCATCAGGTTCTACAGACTTTCTACCATTGGTTTTCTTTAAAGCGTCATCAACTTCTTTTTTACTAATGTGATGGTAAAAATGAAACGTTCTATTATTATTAACGATATTAAGATCACTAAGTTCGATCGTATTTTCATAAACTTCATTAAAAAGTTTATCAAAATAACTCACCCAACTATGATGAATATTCTATTCTAAGAAAAACACTTTTGATTTTCATCTTTAACACACTTTACTATAGTTAAATCCTTACTTTTCTTTTCTCTTTGTTTGGCTCGTTTGCTAATCTATTATAAATATCATTAAAAGAAAAATTTTTAACATCACAAATTATTCTTTTAGACTCCATGTGGGTATTTTGATATCTTTCTAAATTCTCTAAGTTTTTACAGTTAAACCAAATTTTATAACATAACTTCTTATATTTTATCTTTTCTTATATATTATTATTCCACCATGAACAATTTTTTTAAAAAAAACATTTTTCTTTTGATTCTTCAAGTACAACTTTTGCTAATAGTTTAATAATGTTTGTAACTTTATCCCACATAGCATTTGTTTCATCACGAACTTACCAAATTTTGAAATCTTGTATTTTACTTATAAAAATAATTTTATTTGTGTCTTTTAGGTTCTCCCATCTAACTTTACAACGATGAGTAAGTATTCTTTATTTAATAACTCTTCATCTTAAAATCTAGAACTAATAAATGATGTTGGGTACTTAAATCCTCACTTGGAATGACCTTACAATCTTTTATAATCTTGACGATCTCTTATTCTCATAAGAAAATAACTAATTTGTATTTTATTAGATCCATTCTTACAAGTAATAAGATGCTCATCTCTTTTATTAAATAAAGTATTAGTAATAACAAAATCACACGTTAAAGCAAAATCTAAAATAGCTTAACATTTTTTAATAGTCACGCCAAAACCGTAGCCACCATGAATATTTATGAAATATTCTACTAATCTACCGACATGTCAATTTAAATCTCATCCAATAAAAAGTCTTTCTTCAAGAGGTATCATTTGTATTAAGTCTTCTAAGTCATTCCAAAATTTATCTTTATACCCTATATCTAAACCTAATTGAGGAGCATAAGCACTTATAATATTAAAAATCATGTTATCAACAATAGTGTTAAGGGCTATAATTCTATCTCAAACTTTATTAATTTTTAAAACATTATCGTCCAACTCTTATCTATAATTACATCTACACTGTTTCTGGTGTGACTCTAACCAGAATACCAAAGTTTAAAACCTAAGTTATTAATTTTCTTAGTCTTTTCTCCAACCCATTTTGTTTCTTGAATACATAAGATATTAATATTTATAAGAATCATATTATCAACTAATTCCATTAATTTACTATTGAGAGTATCTATGTTCAAATATCTTATCCTAATATTCCAAAATCACGTCAAATGGTAAGAAAAAAAATTTCAATCATTGGATTAAAATGGTGAATTGAGTAAATCCTATAATTATGTGCATTTTACGATATTTAAGAGTGCCATGGTGATGAAACCCAAAGCTTTGTACAGTAGCGACCTCCTCTTCTATAATCCCACTTTTTATCTTCAAGCTATGTATAGTGGCGACCTCCTCTTCTCTAAATAAATGATAATGGCTATTAATTTTAATAAAAAAAAAATTAATAAATACTTATAAATTAATGAGGGTTTTCAAGAAGTTTCACCTTCGTGGAGGTCGATGAAGCATTCTCTTTGCTTAACTATGCTCCCTGTGTGTTAGGATGAAGATGGATCCTCCTTCCTCCACAGAAGCTCCAAGAAACTCCCTCTCAAGCTCTCAACTCTAGGAAATCTCAAATGAAAGAGGGAGACAAAGAAGAAAAAAAAGGTGTGAGAAGAAGAAAAATGATGGAGGCTCCCCAAGATCTTCTCCTCAAGCCTGCCAAGCTTCCTTAAGGCTAAGGACCCTCCTTCAAATGGACAAAAGTTGTTTCGTCCCCCTTGGTCTGTTCCCCAAATATAACAAATTACTCTTGTAAAGAGCTTTGCCCCTTGAGTTATGCATGTTGTGGAAAACCAGTGAATGAGGAGAGTGGAAAGAACTTTATGAACTTTTTTTGTTTCTTAGTTAACTATTACACAAATACATGAAAGCCTTTATTTTGACACGACAACTTTACACAATAAAGTTGAACCAATGAAGGACAGTTGGAACCATCTAATTATAGCAAAGTCCTAAAGTATTCAAAGTAAAACTAATCTTCTTGAGAGTAAAGATGCATTAGTTAATAGGCCCCCTTGAATTTAGCATCTAAGGAATAGATGTTAAGTTTGTCTCAGAGACACATAAAATTGGCAGCAAATAAGGCTTTAGTGAGTATATCCACAATCCGATCTTTAATAGTCATGTGTTGAATTGTAGTGATCTTGGCTGCAATTTGATCTCGAATAAAATGATGATATAATTTGATATGATTGATATGAGCATGAAAAATATGGTTGTTAGCCAAAGAAATAGCTGATGTGCTATCATAAAAGTTAACAATAGGAATTTCCATTGAGAGCTGAAATTCAGTTGAGTCGTTCAAGCAACATAATATTAGTTGTTGCAATTGATAAAGCCCGATATTTGGCTTCACTGGAGGACCTCACGATCGTTGTTTGTTTCTAAACTATCTATGAAATCAAATTATTTTCATAAAACGTACAGTGACCCGATATAAATCTTTTAATGATTGGATCACCTGCCCATTATGAGTCTAAAAAGGATAGCACATGCAATTATTTGTTTGTAAATCGAATATTACAAGTAATTGTTCCTTTCAGATATTGAAGAATTCATTTGATTTGTTGAATGAAGTCGGTCGAAGGATAATGCTTGTGCTGACGGTCAATATTCACTACATAAGCAATATCCAATTTAGTAA